GAGGCCGCTCTCACAGAAGCCTCAGCCTCGAGCTTGGATGGAAGACCCAGTTTAGTCCTGCCCCTGTGCTGTGCAGTCTGGGCAGAGTGACAATTTCTCTGAGCCTCGGTGAGGCCACTCTGAAGGTAGGAGAGTTTCCTTGCTCCCTGGGCCCCCAGGCCTGACCTTGGAGGACCAGGTTGCAGGGCCCAAGAGTGTTGGCTTGGGAGGCAGCCAGGGAGGTGTTGAGGCCATGGGTTTGCAGCCAGATCTGGTTTTGAGCCCTGGTTCTGCTGGCCCTTTTTAGCTTTGTCATATTTAGTCATATTGAGCACTTCCTCCCTCTGAGCCTTGGGCTTCCCTTCTGAAACATGGGATCTTGACATCTGCCTCTCCAGGTGTGTCATGTGCAAAGGAGGCATTGAATGGAAGGCCCTCGACATGTGTCTAGACACCCAGAAGCCCTGGGGCTCTGAGGCACCTGAGGCTGCAGGAGAGGGTGAGGGCGGGGCTGCCCCCAGGGGGCGCTGGGGCCCCTGGGCAGAGGAAGAGATGCTCTTGGTGGCCTCCAGGTGATCCTGACTGCAGGAGGCCAGAGGGGGCTGAGAAGGAAAAGCCTGAAGGTGGGGGAAGGAAGAGAGCACTAGGATTTCAGTCTGCAGGCAGGAGGCCTCCCAGGTGCGCAGACGTGTGAGACACGCGGGTGTGGATATACAATCGTCTTCACCGACGCAGACACTTCCGAGATGCCCTACTCCATGCACAGATCTCGACACCCGGCTGCACTACGTGTACGGATACCTGCATGATATACCCAAGCAAGCCAGCCCCCAGGGCTAGTGCCATAGACGCGTGCGCAGGCGCACACACTCATGCTCCCCAGGGTACTCTGAGGGAGCTTGAGACCTCAAGGAATACACTTTGGGAACCAGATCCCTTGAGTCTCTGCCATCTTCATACCCCTACCCCCACCCCCATCTCCCCCAGATCCCAGGGCCATGTCTGGCCCCAAGTCCTCATTATTCTTCAGGGTTTGGCCTCAGCTCCTTCATTCTCCCTGTCACATTCCCTTGGGTGCGTGCACCCACCTTGTGCCTCAGTGACCATCTACCTGGTTGTTGAACACCTGGGTGCTCAGTTCTGGTCCTTTGAGGCTCAGCCCTTCCCACGAAAAACATCTCTTGGATGCTCCAGAGACCCTCATGTCCACGTGCCCCAGACCAGAGAGCTCCAGGAACCCCCGGCTCAGTGACCCAGGAACCTAGATGTTGACTGACTCCCCTCTCTCACCAATACCTCTGGTATCAGCACTGCTACCAGCCTAGTCAAAGCCATCATCACCTGTCACCTAGGTAACCCAGTTGACCCCCTTTGTCTCCATCCAGTCTACCTGACCTAATTGGATTTATTCTCCAGTTGGCAGCAAGACCCTGGATACCTGGCCTTGCCTCTGGCCTCATTGCTTCTCCCTACCCCTAAACTTAGCTATTCTTACACATTAGGAGATTGACAAGATTTTGCCTGCCCCTGAGGTTTTGTACAAGCCTGGAGCACTCACAGATACTTCTCATCACCCCCTAGCCCTCCCATGCCGACCTCAGCTTAACATATAGTTTCTTCTAGGAAGCCTTCTATGATGCTCCATCCCTCCAGATGAGGTTGGGTGCCCCTGTAACAACTGAGCTCACACCACACTATCTACCTCCTGCAGGCAGGGACCTGCCCCAGTTCTCAGCCTAATGGCTGGTGCTTAAGGGGCCCTTCATATTGGCTGGTTGAATGAGTATTGGGAAATGGGATGGAGTGAGACGGGAAGGATGCGTTTGTTTCAAGGATGGAGCTGGGTCGGGGCTGGGATAGGACAAGGATGGGGAGATGAAGATTATGGGATGCGACAAGGAATGTGTTGGGCAAGACTGAGGACCCGAGGTTCTCCCTCCGTGACCTGCTGTCCCTGGTGCCTGTTGAGAAATCTGCTAATGTCTCATGCAGGACGGGCTCGGGCCCCGCACAGCCCCTCCCCCCAAGGAGAGGCATCACAGGCGTGTACAGGTTGGTTTATTTACAAATATACTGATGTTTCATCTTTTTTTGTTGTTTCCATTTTCTGCTTTTGTGGGAAGAGGCGGAAGGTGAGAGTGGAGGGCAGGGTGGGGGTGGTGATGTGGTAAACGCTAATAAATAATTTAACAATGACAAGTTATTAAATAAAATGTGTCTGGGGATGGCGGGTGGACAGTGAGAGTCTGTACAAGAAAAACAGGAATGGCCGGTGGCCTGGTCCCCACACCCAGCTGTGCTGAGCTCCCTCGGGACCTCCGGTAGGGGCAGGGGCACAGCAGAGAGGCCCCTTGGAAACTGCAGCATCCAAGGGCCAAATGTTGGAGGGTCCTTCCTGCTCCCTGGGCCCCCAGGCAGTGTGTCTGTGAGTGTGGGTCTGTGAGCCTCCGTGTGCATCTGGGTGTGAGTGTGTGTGTGTGCGTGCGTGTGAGCATGGACCCCCTTCCCCCGGGGGCAGAGTGAGTCCCAGAGCTGCAGGTTGTCCCAGATGGGAGGTGAGATCTCACTTCAGGTGGTGCCCAGACCGCAGGCTGGGGCCAGGCAGGCATCGGCCAATTCTCTTTCCCCCAAGCCTCACTGCTCTGGCCCTGCTCATCTGGACATGGTGGATCTCCCACCTCACCTCCTCCAGGAAGCCTCCCAAGATGCCCAGCACTTACACTGGCCCCTTCTCTATGGGCTCTGCTGGCCCCGTGTTCTGACCCTTAGAACCACAGTGTCGCTCTGTCCATGTGGCCTCCTTGGAAGGCTCCTGTGGGGGCAGGAGCCTGCCTTCCTGTCCCAGCCTTCACTTGCTGTGTTACCTGGGGCAGATTCCTCCCTCTCTCTGAGCCTCAACTTCTCCACAGGGAAACAGAACTTGGCTTTTCTCCAACACTCCCCCTCCCCCCTTCTCACTCTCTCCTTCCTCCAGAGACCAGACTGTCACCTCCCCCTTCCTTGGGCTTCTGACCCAGCTACCATGCGGTGGTGGTCCCACTCTGAGGCAGAGGTGGGGTGCTCCTGGCTACTCATGTCCCCCACCCCAAATCAAGGCCGTGCTTCCTACATGAAGTGGGAAGGGTTAGATCATCTCGGCCCCAGACCCCGGTGAGCCTGCTCAGCTCTGCGTGCCTCTGCTGGGTGACCTTCTCTGAGCCTCAGGCTCCTCATCTGGGAAATGGGTCCCCAACAATCTCCAGACAAGCCTGGGATGGAGTGTGTGCCTCTCCTCTGAGGAGAGAGCCCCTCAAGGGCGGGCCCTACCTCTCACTCATCTGTGTCCCCCGCAGCCAGCCCAGGGCCGGACAGAGGGGGCATCAGAGCCTGGGGCACGGTGCAGTGAAGAAGTTACCTAAACTGGCTGATGGGGCGTCTCTCGCAGAGGGGCTGAGGTCCCTCTTGCTTTACAATCTGTGGGTCGTGAGTGTGGGTGTTCTAGACCAGCTCCTGGCAGGGGCAGAGCCCAGGCTGGGCCTGTGCTTTGTGATGCCCCAGAGCAGCAAGTTTACTAACAAAAGTCATGCCCCATGACCTGGAGGTTGTTCACTAGATAAGGAGGATGAGGGGCTGTGTGGCGTCCCTATTCTCAGCTCCAGCTCTGTTCCTGACTTGACGAGAGAGGCCTTGTCCCTGGCCCTCTCCTGGCCCATGTTTTCCAGCTGCAGAATAAGGAGGTGGACTATTTGACCCATTCTTGAGGTTCCTTCCAACTTAAAGAGACTGGGAGAGAAGGGCCAGGTCTCCTGAGGGGGGACATCCACCCCTGGGCCTGCCTCAAGTGCTCCCAGCACGATTCAACTGTGGGCACAAAAGGAGAAAGGGACCATCTCTCAAGAAACCAGAGTGGCTGCCGAAGGGACCAGTGGTGACTCAGGACCAGGAGACGGCACACAGCCTGGGTGGGCTGAGGCTGCAGAAGGACATAGGACAAAGTTCTGTGTGGAGCCATAAGAGCCCAGAAGGCCCAGGCTGGCTGCTCTGGCCTGAGGAGTGGCAGGGAGATTGGCTCAGGTCGCTCTGGAGGGACTGAGGTCTCCCCAGAGGACAGAGAAGCAAAACCACAGAGGGGGTTGGTGCACTTCAAGGATCCCAGAGAGGGCCAGGCAGAGGGGCCCAAAGGTGGAGAGACACCTGTCATCCC